TTTCTCTCTCTCTCTCTCTTTCTGTCTCTCACTCTTTTTCTCTCTCTCTCTGTCTTTTTCTTTCTCTCTCCTTCTTTCTCTCTCTTTCTGTCTCTCTTTTTCTGTCTTGTCTTTCTCTCTCTCTCTCTCTCTCTCTCTCTCTCTCTCTCTCTCTCTCTCTCTCTCTTTCTGTGTCTCTGTCTGTGTCTCCCTCTCTTTTTCTCTCTCTGTCTATCTCTCTCCCCCCTCTCGTTCTCCCTGTAACTCTCTTCCCTCTCTCTCTCTCTCTCTCTCTCTCTCCCTCTCTCTCCCTCTCTCCCTCTCTCCCTCTCTCCCTCCCTCTTCCTTTCCATTTCTCTAAGGAATAACTGGTCGCTTTCAAGCACACGGGGGCTATTCCAAAAAATGCTGTTTTGAGAGAGTCGAAGGTAAAGTTTTGCCCCTTGTTCAGTTTCTTTAAAAGACAAGGTGAGTTTTCTCTATAACCAAACAAATATACACTCCAGTGAAACCGAACTTCTCCTATAGGTAGGGAAATGCCCTCTTTTGATGTAGGTCAAGATTTCTGGAAACCCCCGAAATCTGGGTTAGCCCGCTTGTCCTTAAAAGCGACCAACTATTAATCTCTGTCTGGTCTCACTCTGTCGCTAACAAATTAATTGTTGTATGTTTCGTATTGAGCCATGAGTCTGAGAACTAGATCTACTTGGACCATTTTGTGATGATGTTTGATTTTGACATACTGTTTGTTTCTTTGTTTGTATATTTGATAATTTCTTTCTTTCTTTTATTCGTTCTTTTTTCTGTCTGTCTTTCTGTCTGTCTGTCTGTCTGTCTGTCTGTCTTTCTGTCTGTCTGTCTGTCTGTCTGTCTGTCTGTCTGTCTTTCTTTCTTTCTTTCTTTCATTCTTCTTTCTTTTTTTCTTTCTTTCTTTTTTCTTTTTTCTTTTTTACTTTCTTTCTTTCTTTTTTTCGTATAATTTATTTGTTTAATTATCTTGGAGGTGGGGTGGGGGAGGGGGAGGGGGATTGATTGTAATTTGTAATTAATTTCTCGCGTCTGTGGTGTAGTTGTAAGGATACTCGCCGTGTCACGAAGCGATGTAAGTTTAGTTCCTGTGTGGATTAAAAAATAATAATGGAGTAGGCCTATCTCTGTCGTGTTTGCTGGGAAGCTCCCAACCCTGTAAATATTGATTATTATTTAAATAAGATAAGATAAGACAAGATAAGATAATACTTTATTATCCCATAGGGGAATTTTTCTTAGCTGTACAGGACCGTAAAAACAAATGCAGGTATATATTTAAAAAATTAAATTATACATTACTCTAATTAAGATCCAATATGAAAAGAGAAGTAAAGCTGACAAATTAATGTACATTCACCTCAAATACATCATTCAACCACATGCAGGAATTTAATTACAAGACCTTACTAAAGTGTGGCGATTTGGGCGTAACATGTTTACATGTTTACAATTGCAGTTGGCATTTACAGTTATGTTCTGCTAATGTTTTTTTTGGATTGCTATGTTTTCGTTGTTCTGTTGTTCCAAGGGTAGGGAGGGGGAGGGGGTG